TCTATAGCAAAATGCATGACAATACCTGCCAAGTGGGATAAATAAAGACCATAATTAGCCTCGTATGAGTTCAGGTGAGATCAGTAATGATTTATAAAGGATTATAAACCTGTATTTAGGATGTAATACTAGGAACAAGAATTTTCATGGAAAATGTAAAAGAATATAATTGTAATGTCGATCTTGTCATCCTTTCTATCACCATCCTCACAAACACTTCTACAGTGAATTTGAGAGTAGTTAGTGCCAGACTGGCCACCATCTCACCTGTAAAAGTTATTATCCACTACTAAACAGTCCTAGCTTTTAACACTTTTGAGAACGTGTCTAATTTACATTGAACTGCATCTGTTGCATTAGCCTGACTTTAAAGCAAATTATATGGAGTGTAATAAAATTACTAAAAGTGTTCAGGATTATCCACGTTCAATATTATGCTGACTAGCTCTGTTCAACCCCTTTAGGAAACCTATTGAGAGAAAAAGAGAGAAACCTAAAATCCCATAGTTGAGAAACTCTCGTTCTTTCAGATTTTCCCATTATCATTTATGGTTTAGAATGCACATAAAGGACTCCTTCTTCTGTCATGATTAAGTAGCTTCTACTGTATCCGACTGTTCCACAGGTAAACATTATAAATACTGAACCAAAAAAAATGTAATGACCTGGAGGTAACTTGAAGGGGCTCCTACCAGCCAAAGATGGAACTATTTGAGCTTCAATAATGCTAATAAAGGCAATGCATTAAAGCCAATCAAATGTGTTTACACCCATGAGTTGATCACTTTCTAACAATTAGTAAATAAAGAGATAGTATCAAATTTTTATTCCATCTTTCCTAAAAGAACTGTACCATTGCATAACCAAATAATAGATACAAGAATGTATCTTTTCATTCATGTATTTAATCTAATAAATGTGAAAGAAATAATAGAATTAAAACATCCCCATTTTAGCAACCCCCAGTGAACTAACCAGCATTAAGCATCCACGGTGGTGAATATCACAAATGAAGTCAGAGGAACACAGTCTATTTTCATAACTAGAGCTATCTTTTTAGTGTAAGTCAGATTATGTCTTCTCTCTGATCAATATCCACAATAACTCCTCATTTCACCAAAAGTGAAATTCAGCATCCTTACAAACACTTACAAGGACCTGTAACATCTGTCCTTGAATCGACTTGTTTCATTTCTGTCTGTTGCACTTCTGCTACAGTGAATCCTTCCTGTTCATTTGATACTCATCGTGTGCTCCTGCTTCAAAGTCTTTGCACTGGCTTTACCTCTTGCCTGCAGTCCTCTTTTCCCCAATAGTCATACAGCTCACTTCCTCACCCCTTTCACGTCTTTGCACAAAAGTCATCTTCTCAATGAAAGTATGCAACCATCCCATTTGAAATTGCATCCATCTCTTTTTTCCTTCATGCCACAAGCACATGACTTCTGACCCTTCTCTGTATTCTATTAAGGTTCTAATCATTACTACTAATACACTGTTATTGGGTTGAATTGTCCTCCTGCCTAAAAACATACTGAAATAGTAGTCTCCAATACCTCAGAATGGGACCTTATTTGAAAATAAAGACATTGTAGATTTCAACTAAGATGATGTTCTACTAAAGTGTGGATGGGTTGGGGGGCAATCCAATATGACTGGTGTCTTCATAAGAAGAGAGAGACTGGAACACAGAGACACAGGGAGAACATCATATGACAAGGCAGAAGTTGGAGTTATGCAGCTGCAAGGAACACCAAAGATTGCCAGCTAGCCACAGAAGCCAGAAAGGGGCAAGGAAGGGCTCTTCTTCAGGTTTCAGATGGAGCATGGTCCCGCAGACACACTGATTTCAGGCTTCTAGTCTCTAAAACTGTGAGACAATAAACATCTGTTGTTTTAAGTCACCCACGTTGCTGTGCTTTGTTTTGGTAGCCTTTGCAAACAATACATGTATCTATATAGTGTATCATTACTATATATCTCATTTTATTGTTCTTATTGCTATTGCTTGTTCACCTCCTGCCACTGACTCCCCGCCTTCCAGAAGGCCAACATCAAATGAGTAGGGATCTTTTTGGTCTATTATTTAAAAGAATCCCTAGTACACACTAGATATTCAATAGATATCTGTTGGTTAAAATAATCCTCATATATATTTCTTCATCATTTAATTGAATTGCTTTTTGTGCTTTTGCCAGGTTTTTATTTTTTTAATCTAGTGTTTTATTATTCACAGTAATGGGCAACATAGCTGGCAGGAATACACACACACACACACACACACACACACACACACATATATATATATTATTGGAGACAGGGTCTTGTTTTGTTCCCCAAGTTGGAGTACGGTGGCATGATGATGGCTCACTGCAGCCTCCAACTCCTGGGCTCAAGCGATCTTTCCAACTAAGCCTCCTGAGCAGCTAGGACTACAGGCATGAGCCACCACACCCAGTTAACTTTTAAAATGTTTGTAGAGACAAGATTCCCAGTGTTGCCCAGGCTAGTCTTGAACTCCTGGGCTCAAGCAATTCTCCCACCTTGGCCTCCTAAAATGCTGGGATTATAGGTGTGAGCCACCATGTCTGGTCAGGAATAATTTAAATAACCACTAATGCCCAATTTAACATCTCTTCCTGAATTAAATATTACTAAATAATTGCAAAAAAGTAAAGAGGGTGACTGTTTATAATTTCATCTCATTTCCCCTAGCCATGCTTTTGTGAAGATGCTATTGAACAAGTAATCGAGTCAGACACCAGGAGAGAATAGGAAAAAGATAATCAGCCTTTGAGCAATGGAGACTTGAATGAACATAAATTGTTTAACTCACTAAGCAAGTGTCTATAAAATAAATCATTATTCATAATAATCTTCTAAAACCATTAATCCAAATCTTAATGACTTCTGTCCACCAACCGATCCACAGTTCTCAACTTTCAATTATTAAGAACATTCAGTTATTTCTGTTTAGGAAAGAAAAATTTCTTGCTTCGAGTTCAATAGTTTAAGAGCCGCAAATTAGTTTATCCAGCTTAACTAAACTCATCTATCAACAGCCATAAAACCTGTGAAGTTTGACAGTTATTGTGTACTTGCTAATGTAAGTTTTTCTAACAGGATAAAACACCTCCCTATGCATTTATATTAGCCCTTATCAGTGAGATTTTTCTCCCTTCAGCCACTAACATCAAATCTTGAAATGAATTGTGCTAGTGAAAGTGCAAATATCAATTGCTTTTAAATGAGATTCGTCTCCAGATTACTCCCCTTCCCCTTCTTCTTTTGTCCATGGTGAGACTGAGAGAAGAAAAAAGTTTTAATCATAAAATCTTCCCTTCCAAAAGCAAACTTTGATTAACATAGCTCCTACTATGTCACAGTGCAGAGAAAAGGGATGATATTAGTGAGGAACATTCTTACTAGGGGGAAAAAAGGAGAATCCCTTAGAATAAAAAGTAAAGAGGAAAACAGAGAAAAGCAAAGGTGAACCAAGTTTTTTCATCTTTTCCATCTGCTATAATATAAAAACCTGGGAAAGGCACTCACATAGCACCAGAAAGATTCGAGGGAAGCTAAAAGCAGAAGGGGCTTGTGACCAGATCTATATCTGAAAGTCTAAAGAAGGACTGAGAAGCAGAGTGCTATTGTACCAACGTGGAGTGGACACAACAGAGCTGATAGGGCAGCTTATCACATCTGAGTAGAGAGAAGGCCTGAGTAAGCCCAAGTTCCCTCAGTTCTTTGTTATCTATGTGAGGAGCAGTGTTTCGTAAGTTCCTGCAGAGTTCCAGTGATGAATGTAAAGTTCTCCAACAGTTTCCACGTTTGGCAAGGGGCAATGTCATTGACTGCATAGCAAGACTCCACAGAGTAGACAGCCTAACCTTTGAACAAAACAGAGGATGTGGCTGACACTCAAGTAATGACAGTTTAAGTCAATGAGAGTATCAATCCTACCATGTCAGCAGGGGTTGGGGATTCTGGAGCTGGACTCTCAGGCCTTAACCTTGTTGAGAACAGAGCGTACATGGTACAGCAGAGCCTGATGTAACACAGAGACAAGGCAAGATTATTGTGCCTCAACTGGAGTTCAGCAGGAACCAGTAGAGGATATTCTGTGGACCAGCACTATTTCCCGCATGGCAAGAAATCACATCAATTTCCCGTATGTGCATATCATCCAGGGAAGAAGGAGGGCATAAAGAATGCCCCATAGACATTTTGGGTTTTTAATTAATTAAATACTTACCAGCATGGTTTATTACTTACAAACTTAGAGCTTTTGTGTTTGTTTTCTTTCATTGTTTTCCCTTAGTATGAACAGGAATCAATACGGAAAAGGTTTAAATCAGTTATAGGAACTGAAGACATCAATGTTATTATGCACATCTGAATCATATATGCAAATATGCTATTGTTTTTCAGAGACTCGGTTCTTTAAAAGACTAGGCTAACATAAAGTTTCAACGATTGAAAAGTATGACCTCAATTTAATAAGACAGCATATGAAACTACAGTATTGAAATAGTATAAAGTATGTTAATCATTCTATATGTTGGCCAAAAAATCTGTGCACATTTAAAATTTTCTTTAAAATTATTTAATAATTGGAAATACAGATACCATTTAGACTTCACATGTTAGAATAGAAAAGATGTATATGAAAACAACTTTATTGGTAGTGTTTAATGTTGTATAATGAGTCTGGAAAGGATTTAAAAGGATTTAAAATTCTTTATGTGGTAAATTACTCGTGTATTACTAGGACAGTGGAGTTAAATTGACAATTTGACCAATTCTCAATAGGCAATAGCATTTTCCTACAGGACTTTCAAAACTGTACTTAATGTTGAAGATTATAATCATAATTTGGGCATACAGTTGTCATTTAGTTATGATTTTCTAGGCATATTAAATTTTTTCTGTACTTCACAAACTAAACATTAAGAAGTGGAGTAGAAATGAATATAGATAGCTGGTAGATATTCTTCAAGTTTGAAATTAAAAGTTCCTCAAGAAAAATTTTTTCTTATTATATTTTTGGACAAAAGTACTGAGTTGGTTACACATAACTTTTAGTTTCAACAAAAAATACAATTCATTTGTTTAAAAGACAACATGGAAGTGGAAGGTAATACAACTTTCTAAAATGAAATTACAGATTGGATTGACACTGACTACACAACTAAATAAATTAATCCCACTATAACACATAAAATTATCTTCCATATATTATGAACTGACATTCAAATCCAGAAATCTTTCACATAAATTAAATTTCATGTTAACAAAATTTCTATTTATTATACATAAATAGATATCATAAATATATTTTACATGACCCTACATTTGATCTTTCCTTGGTAAACAGTGAGAATTATTACATATGAAGACAGTGTATAAGGGACATTAAATCAGCTTTAATCCCATTATTAAGAAATCCATACAGAATTGGATTAAGACAACAGGACATCATGCCCAACAAATGACAAATGCAATACACCAACTTGAAATGCCTATTTGAAATAAGATTGTCATTAAAATCAGTTACCACATGGAAAAGGTGTAGTGGCATCCAACTAACAGCAAATACTAGTATCAGTATGGTCAGCCTGTAGAAAACACTTCGAGATCTCTTTTTTATTCTTGTAACAGAACGTTTTACTCTCAATTCATGAACATCTGAATTTTCTTCAGGTTTTATTTCAAAGCAAGTGGGGACCCCTGGTATGAACTTACTGGATGAAGAGAGCTGACTTCTTACAGAGCCAAAGTTTTCTGGAAGTATTCTGGAGTGGTTCTCTTGAGAAGGTCTTTCTGGAGCAGGTAACACACATGCTGTCTTCTTGCTATATCTCCTTCTGTGTTTTTTGATGAATGAATAACTCCATTTATGGCTGCCAGAGAGTTTCACCTGAGGCCCAATCTTTCTGGATGGATGAAGAGTTAAGTTGATCATCTCGTTTTCTTCAAGTCTGTTTTCTTTGTTGGACAATCCACAGCTTATGCTTCTGCAGACACTTGTATGACTTACAGTAAGACAAACTAAGGGCAGAATATACTGAACTAGCAATAAAGAGATAGTAAAGGCAATTCTGTATGAATCAGATGGCCATGACTCAACACATAAATACCTGCTGCTCAGCAACGCTGAACCAAATGTTTCTTGAAGTTCCACAAGACTGTGAAACACTGGAAGGGGAGAACAGATGGCAAAACCTAGTGTCCAGACAGTAGCTATCAGAAAGTAGCCATGGTTTGCTGTTAAATTATTAGAGATGGGATGTTTTATCATATGATACCTGACAATGGCAATTGATATTAAAATTAAAGTTGAAACCAAAACTGACACACATTGCAGAAAAGGCATAATATGGCACATGACTTTGCCAAACATCCACTGATCCAGCAAGACAGACGTCAGTGTGAAAGGTGAGCAAAACAGCACAACCAAGATGTCAGAAAAGGCCAGATTTCCTATAAGGAAGTTTACCGTAGTCTTCTGATTACGCTTTTTCATGAGAGCCATTAAAATAAGTAAATTCCCCATAAAGCCAAGAAGACTTACAAATGTATAGAGCCCAATCAGAAAATACTGTAAGTCATCTACACTGCTTTTATAGTCATCCCAGACTGGGAAATCAGAATTCCGAGTGGCAGCAGTATTATTCTCTGTGGCAAGTGTCTTGTTATAATATTCATCAAGCTCTAAATCCATATTATAGTCCTGCTTGGAATAAAAAGACATTTGTCATCAACCTAAAAAAAAATTACATGACTACTTTAAATTAATCTATTCAGACGGAAACTAAATTTTACAATCGGCTCCCATGACCTTATTAATCTCCTAAGAAAGTTTATGAAATCTTTAACTCATTCCAAGTGCAGTGCAAATATCAGCCAATAATGATTATAGTAAGTTTAATTTTATCATTACTTCCAAGATGTATTAACTTATGTTAAGATAATAGATTGTATTTTTAAAATTTGTGTAGTAAATAACGTAAGGAAAGAAAAAGCAAATGTAGACAAGAACTTCAAGATACATGCTTGAAATCACTGATTAATATTATTCTCCAAGTCAATATAACTGGTACATAGTATAGTCACATAATCTTACCATAAAAATTCTATTCATTTCTATCTCAATCTAGGCCAAACTTAAAAGTCACCTGTCCTAGTCAACTCAGCTGGACATGATCTCCTCTTCAGAACTCCTGTTAACATTCTGTTTACAGTTGTCTGATGCTACAGATCATAATCTGCTCTCATTGCATTATAATGCCTAGCCGTCTACCTTGTTTATTTACAAGCAATGGGAAAGCAGAAACTATCTCTTACTCACTTTGGAATCCATCCCAATACATGGCAGAGTAATTTTACCACTGCAGGTAGTAAGTAAATGTTTATGAGAGAATAAAATATTCAAACAAAACTCTAGTAACAAATATCACCTAGCTCATACAACGTTCAAATTTAAGCGCCTTGAGAATAGGATTACTATCTCATGAACTAGGTGCCTATAGTAGGCACTCATTAAATCTGTTTGTCAAGCTGTACTGTTGACTGTGTAGATACAATGCTGAATGATGACATCTTTCTGTGACCGATCCTCAGTCGTTTGGGAAATGCCAGATTATCTCTGATTAGGACAACCACTGATGGACTAGCAGTGCTGTTGGTGTTTTCTTTTTTTAAACAAACAAACAAACAAATTTCACTTGCTTATTAATTTAAAAACTGTGTATAGATTTTGCCTTATGAATGAGTCAATGAGTTCATTGTTCAAGGAAAACATTATACCTTAAATGTAAATGTAGAAGTGATATTAATATAACTTCCAGTAATAAGTTTTTTCATTTCAAATTAAATTAATGTCATACCTCAATGGCATTACATGTTTACCTCTACATATTAGACTTTTGATGCTACTGCCTGATGAAGCACTAAATTGCCTATAACATACCAGTAAGAGGCAAAAGGACCCCCTCCTCTCATTTAAAAAAAAAAAAGCACTTTTTTTTTTTTTTCTTAGAAACAGGGTCTCATTTTGTTGCCCAGGCTGGAGTGCAGTAGTGTGATCACAGCTCATTGTAACCTTGAACACCTGGACTCAAGCAGTCCTCTCATCTCAGCCTCCCAAGCAGCCAGGACTACAGGTACATGCCACTACATATGGCTAATCATTCTATTTTTTTGTGGAGATGGGGTCTGTCTATGTTGCCCAGGCTGGTGTCAAACTCCTGGCCTCAAGTAATTCTCCCACCTTGGCCTCCCAAAGTGTTGGGATTATAGGCATGAGTCACTGTGTGCCTGGCCACTTTAAGTGTTTTTTTTTAAACAAGAATTTCCTACAGAAAACACAAACCAGCAAGCAAATTGATTCCAATAAATACACTGTCATAGAGATTGTGATATACACGTAGTTTAAAAAACACTTTTGTTACCTATTAATATATGTTTATCTACTTATTTCTAGATCTATAATTGAATAATTATACTAAAACTATAAAAATACATTTATTTAAATTAATAGTAAAAACTGTTATCTTTAATTTATGAGGGACCTATAGGTCTTAGTTCAATAAATTTCCAAATGGCAAATACTACTGTGTACATACATTCATTACAAGTAAGTTTAACTTCAGTTCTATATATAGCAAGTTTCAAACAGGATGACAGAGTCATCCTTATGCTATGAGAAAAGTTATAAGTTTTTCACAACTTCTACAAGTGATTCTATGTTGACCAAATTATTTTCTGGAAGCTAACTACATCCTTTTAGAGGATAAGTTAATTCAAAGACTGAGGATTGTATTCATTCATTCTTAGACCCTAGCCAACAATTTACATTGATATTGCCACAGTGAAAAAGAACACCTGGTACAAAAGTGACTCGCATGACCTACTGAATCATATTATTCATCATATTCCCAGTCAATAGCCTCTCAGCACCTACTCTGGATAGGTCAGCAAGCTTATAATCAAAACAGCTTTGATTGGTGCTTTTGCCTAATTTCCTGAGTTCTGATGACCCCCTGGCTCAATTCAGCTTATTCATGATCCTATTTATATTTATAATGTGTACAGGCTGCTTGTAACTGCAATCTTGCTTAGTTGTTCTTCCCTTGACTTACCTTTCTTGAATCAATCGTTTTCTTCTAACTTTGTGGTAGGTCAGTTGTTACTGATAGCTTTTCCTTGTACTTCCTAAGCAAGAACAAGAGAGAAATTAGACGGCCCCTTCTACAGTGGCTTTGTGCCTTTTTGGATCATGGAACTGTGGATGATACTTACTTACTTAGTGTAAAATTGCTGTCCAAAATTTTCTGAAGAAAGAGAAGATGCAGCACAATTTGTGGTAATAGAAACAACATAGTTTTGAGTCTAAAATTCAGATTTTTCTCCAATCCATGTGGTTAGATCTCTCTATTATATTCGAATGGAGATAAAAGTCTTAATTATTTTTCATTCTAGAAATAATGTTTAATAAAGCATATTACACATAGTGGATGCTAAAGTAAATATTCGTTACCAATCATTTTAGAAAAGCAGTTTAACTTCCCTTGCTTTAAAATAACAGAAATGAATCATCCTGGCAATGTGGGAAAATTCAGGATAGAGCATGGCTATAAATTTGTGTGTACATACATATGTGTGTATATGTATCTTTATATATACATTTATAGAGAATCATTGAAATTATAGATGTTTTAAATGGCCCCAAAATGCAATGAGGAGGAGATACCTAGATAGACAACAAAGAGAGTTTAGCACTTTAAATTTTCATTTGGGTATCTTCATCGATAAAGGCTATCACACAAGCAACATGAAACTAAAACTGCAAGATATATTTACAAAACATTTAAAAAATGTAAACGAAAAAAGAAGTATATCTGCTTCCACGACTGTGCAGTCTGCTATTAAAACTTTTATTTTAAATACATGCACATAAAATATTGAATGCATTAAATTATAAAACCACATCTCCTTAGTAAGAAGATGAAATAAATGCTATCTTTGCCATCTTGAGTATTCATTGAACACTGGAGTAAAAACTGAGGATGCTTCTTTCATTCCCTAAAATATTTGAGTATTTTAAGAAAGTACATAATTTATATATAATTTTAAAGGGTAGGCTCCTTCTATTAATGAATAGCTAAGAATGATTAGTTGTTCCTTCTTTTATTCATTCAAGAAGTATTTATTGAACATTATATTTTGCTAGGTGCTCTGCTCTGCTCTAAGCATAAAGATGAGTAATGCAAGGTGCTATGCCAAGAATATTCTATGATGGATTAATTCAAGCTCACACCCTGAGTAACTGTAGATTGCTGAGATGTAAAAGGCCTCAAATTGGATGATGAATGAATTAATAAATGAATGGCATTCTCCTGACTGACAGTAGTATATTATTTCACTATAGCATGGACACTTGTATTATTGCCGAATATAATGAATACTTTATGTAGCTACTGATAGACTGATTAGCAAATTTTAAAAATTCTCCTTTAGCATTCATTCGTTCATTCAACATTCATTTATTCATTTTATTTTTGTGCGACTGTAGTCAACTTTCTCCTGCTCTCCCTCTAGCCCCACCCCACACCATCTACCACATAAACATACACACATACAATACCTAATATATAGTCTGCACAAAATGAGCATGTTTGTGAATCTTTGTTCCAACGAAGGAAGAATTTTTTCTTACAACTGAATGATGAATACTGCAAATGCTGGAGGCGCGGAGGAGGGGTGGGGGAGGGGTGGTGGTGGATATGTAGTTTTTTAAAATTGCCTCCTGGTAGCCAGGGGATAATGTAAACATTAGGAAAATTTTGTCCAATCAGATTTAAGTCGAAAATCTAAGGTACAGGAACGCTCTTAAAATGAAAACACAAACAAACAAAAAAGCAAGATTTCTTTCCTTAAACTTACCTTTTCCCTTCCTTTTTCCTGAAAAACACAGTGAGCAGACCTACAATGGAAATGCAAATATGTTTAACAACCCTCTACTTCTCAACAAGTGTTGTTATGAGTGCTGTACATTCTTATGCAACATATTTTATCCATTATAAAATGATATGTGTGAATCTTCCCAGATTGCTACAGAAATTATGAAATATAGCCAGAGAAAGAATATTTTCACATGGAATATTATTTGACAAGAAATCTGATATCGACAGCATGAAATTTTTGTCATACCTAATTACTATATTTACTCATTCTCTTTTATAATAGTTGTATCTCCCACCATCAGAATTTCCAGGCTGAAACACAGAACTTTAATCTCTGAGTAAAAAGTGAAAAATAAAAGTTCTTTATTAAACTATGGCAACTTATAAAAAATAATGTCTTTTCAGAGGTTTACTGGAATTTTCTTATAAACTCTTCTACATCTGACACCTAGACAAATGACACCTTCTGAATAGATTTTAAGTATTTTAAGAAAGTGTTCTTAAGAATAATAGGAGGAACTTCAGGGAATTCAAAGGATATTAAAAATCTGACTTGTACATTTCAATAAGGTTTATTTGTTTGAATAATTTCTTGCCTTATGAAAATACACATCACTCTCACAAAGGATGACAATCACACAAAAGAATAAAATATATGTAATTCTTTTCCTCCTGCAATGATACAATATCAACTATTGTCTATTTTGCTGTGCTCATGGAACAGCAGCATGATTCCATGTTCTCAAATATTCCCATGGTTTGTTCTTAAAGCCAGAATCTGGCACAATTTGAATTGGAAAGATAAATACAGCTCTGCTCAGCTGACAAACACACAGGCATGCACCACCCTCCCTTCCAAATTCTAACAGCAGAGTTTCTCTTCCCTTGAGAAATCTGAAATCTAAAATTGCATTCGAACTGCAAGATTCTTCTGAAAGAGCCTTAGGCTATTTTCCATGGTCTATGGTAAAACCGTTCTGGCTTTGGTCCAACACAACGCCTCAGTTCCTTTAAAAGATTAACTAAAGGTCTGTGAACTTGGAAAAAAGAATTCCCGTTTCTGGAATTCGAGTTCTACGGATGTTTGCTATTCTCGCATTTGTCATATGAAGACACCTCGCAAATAGGAGCGCAAACCTTGGAGCGCAGCTGCCTCCCGGGCTCAGGTCAGCGCTGGACTGCGCGGCAGCTGGACGGCTTGAGTGGCGCCTCGCGGGCTGCGCCCCTGGCCTCGCCAGAGACCCGCTAGAGCTGAGCCCTGACCCGGGCACCCTGCGGGCTGCTGTTCCCAGCTCCAGACCAGCCGGGCTGCAACAAGAGTGCGTCTAGCCTGGGGCAGCGCTTTGTCCATCCCCCGCCCCTTCCCCAGGAGGCTCCTTCGCAGATCCCCGACACTCTCCTCCCGGGTTCGGCCCGCGCCTGCTCCACCCGGGTGAGTTGGGAACTGGAGGGACCTGCTCGGTAGGAAAGAATTCAGCCCAGTACCCTCTGCGCTGTCTCTTCACTCCTGACAAGTGTCTGTTCCGACACCCTAATCCCCATTTTTCCAGCCGCACTCCCTTCACCTTCCCCACCCCGCCCTCTTAGGACCCCCGACAACGCCCTGGCACCAGAGACAGGGGTGCGGGCTCCCAGGGACCAGCGCAGACTCGCAGCCCGCGCGGGGACCCGCCACGGTCCCTGGGTGCAGGCCTACCCGGCGCGAAAGGGGTTGGCAGGGAGAGGCGGGAGCCCGTACCTCGGGGCGCCCCGGCCGCTGCAGGCCCTGGGCTCCCGGGAGCGCGGCCCAGCGCGATCGCTCCTGTACCCCAGCGGCGGCGGCAACAGCAGGAGCAGGACCTGGAGGCGGCGGTGGGGAAGAGGGGGCGGGGGTTTAACGGCGTCTCCAGAACACGTGACTGTTCCGGGGACCCCCCGAGACCCTGCTCCAGGGCGCCTGCTCCGCGCCAGCGTCTTCCAAATCCGGGGGCCGGGGGCATCCCAGACCTACGCCGCTGTTTGGCCGCTCTAGGGAGAAGCCACAGGGCCCCGGGATGTCGCCCTTTCACCCTGGCCTCGGGTCCCAGGCCGACCAAGTTAACTTGATGGGCAAATCGAGTTTTGCCAGTCCAGCCCCCAGCCCTGTGTAGTGAACTCTGAGAAGTCTTGAACTGGTGTGAGGATGACTGTGCCCCTAAGTGCAGTATTCCTGAGAACAAGCTTCGAGTCTCAGGTTTTATCATTGTCCGGGGGGCGGGGTGGGGGGGGGAAGAAAGAAAGAAAAAAAGAAAAACAGAACACTGCTCTTCCTTTGCACCTTTTTGAAGTAAGGAAGAGTGGCGGTGGGGAGGCTCATCCAATGTCCAGGAGAGGTAAGGGAGTCTGCGGGGATGCGCCCAGCAGAATAGAAGGGAAGTTTCCCCACTCCAAGGAGTGGCAGCTGTGGGTGTGGGCAAGCGGCAAGAGCAGGGGAGTGAAGCTGAAATGAAATCAACGCTGCTCAAGACTATATTCAATAGCAAAGAGAAGACGAAGGGCTAAAAATGAATTGTCATAGGTTAAAAGAAAAAAAAAAAAAAGACGGGAAAAAAAGCCCACACAAAAGAAAAAGAAAAAACCCTATCCTTCTGTTCCTTCTCAACATGATTTCCATCTCTAATGTTTCCAAATCTGTATTGCGCAGGTTTGCTTTATTTTTAGCTAATCATTAGTTGGCAGGTACTTTAGGTGCGCGCGCGTGCGTCTCTCTCTCTCTCTCTCTCTCTCTCTCTGTGTGTGTGTGTGTGTGTGTGTGTGTGAGAGAGAGAGAGAGAGAGAGAGAGAGAGAGAGAAAGAAGAAAAGAGAGATTGGGTAGAGGTCTGTGTGTCTTTGGACATAGCTTTACCATGAGAAAGGGTATAGTTATTGTACCCTTTAATACTGAGAACTATTATGTAACAGACAGCATCTCCTGCTGAGTAGAGTCCTGTGGGACTAGCTCTTTATAAACCGAAGAGAACTGTACCCCTTGGGAGCACTGTGACTTGTAATTCTCACATCTGGGGCAGCTATCACTGTTATACCAGAGGTCAAAGAAAATGTTTTGTGCGCCCTTTCTGCTGAATTTTAGCATTCAATACTCAGGGGATCTATATAGATTGCCATTTTATCAGTCAAAGAACCATCCAAGAGCTTTTAAAGAACTCAAGTAAACACAGTTCCTGTTTTATTCTTCTGTGTGTTATTTCTGAAATATTAATATATTCTCCCCAAAAGCTTAACAGAATAGGCCTTCTGAGCAGGCACCTGGGATCCTGCAGTAGGGAGCAGGGGATGAAAGTGTCAAGAAGGAATAACCTTGAGAAAATAAGGCTTGTTTTTTAGACTTTCTTAATTCCACCATCTCTGTGGTTAATGCAGTACACATTGCCACATAAATTTCTATCCTTCCATCTCTTGCACAGTCATAACATGTACACTTCAAGTACACATTGTCTTTAAAACAACTTCCAAGTGAACCCCATTGTGACTGTCTTTCAAAACACTAGTCTATGCTACAGGCTTTTGCATATTAAAAGTATAAAACAAATCTTATTTTTTCTTTTCCACAACTTTGTTTTCTATTTTGATGATATGAACCTTTAGGGTGAAGTCACTGTTATTAGAGTATTGAAAATAAAAGGCCACGTGCCATTGATACAGAGATTGTAATTAACCTGACCATTTTCCCTTCCCACTGCACCCACAAATAAGTCTCAAAAAGGGAACTGACATTTCTTCTTTAAATACATGTGACAATACGCAGTAGTAAGGATATCTGGAGTGGACAAGTTATGAAGAGATTTTTGTTTGGAGGAAATTATCAATGTACAAATGTAGGCAATATGCTACATAAAGAGAAAGATATGAAGATGAGGGTGCTTTTACCTTTAAATTTCCCAGGAGGGATTCGAGACTGATCATTGTTACTCTTTGTAGAATATAATAATTTTATTTTTATTTTATGGAGTAACATTTAAGCGGAGGGGAATATCAGAACAGAAATAGTAATGTCCACCTCTATTTTATGTATTTTTCCCACTCACTATTTATAAAATGCTCATTTGGGAAATTAAGTTGGATTTTGTGCATGTTACAAAATTAAACTGGCTATTGCCCTGTTATTACAGTTAATAATCAGTTACGAAAGAAAGGTAAAAGTTAAAGGTCACTTGGGACTCCTAAGACAAATTATTGAACAATAAAACAGTCGCCCAACAATTCCTGGGGTAACATTTTGCTGAGGAACATGACTGTGGTTTTTGTCAAAGCTACTGTTGCATTTTAATAACAGCTACCATTTGTGGAAAGCAATGACTAAAGTGCTTTGGTATAATCTCCAATGATATTTGATTTTGATATATTCGTTATAGAAGAAGTATGGGTAAATAAACTAGAGAAAACAGTATTATATTACTTCATGCATTTATTTCTCTGAGGATTTCGTTGTACTCCTTAAGAGTAAATGTTTCTTCATCCACTTTTCCTATCATGGTAAATTTAAATCCTTAATACTTAAAAGATGTGTTATCAAAATATTTTATGATGTTCTATGCTGCATTGATTTCTGTGAAATAGTAATAATTTGTCATACAAATCAATATTTAGAACTTAAAATACATGATTTTTATTATTATTATTTTCAGGGAACAAAAGCTATTGAAAAAAAGTTTTGCCCAAAGTATTATGTACATTGAGTCCATTTCCCAGAAAACTTAACGACAATTTTGAGGTCCTACAGGGGTATCATTAACATTTTGTTGACTTCTGAGAAATACTGTGCTCCTTAAGCAACACTTTATTTATCCTTTTGATGCTCTAATGATTTGACCTTAAAGCAGTGACTGATTTTCAGAAAGAATGTATAATTCTTTTTACTAGCAAATATCCATGTTAAAAATACATACACACATAGATGTGATACAAATGTATTTTATATGTTCATATGTCACATACGTATTTTTATAATAGACACTTATCAGAATAACTGAGTTGTAGCCAGGCTTGATCTCAAATTAGTGGTGCGGCTTTAGACAGGCACTTGATTTTTCAGTCTTCATTTTCTTTGTCTGTAAAATGAAATATTTTGAATCGAAGATCTAGAGTCCCCGTTGAGACCTGACTACTTACGACTGTATGTCATTAATGAGCATGCATTACAAACATATGTGTAGAAAAACCATCTTTTTAGATCTTCAGAAATATTTGATAGCCACAGACATTGTTTATTTTCCCTTTACATTAAAATTTACAAAGAAAATACTGATGTTAAAGTTTTCCATTATTATTGGCACATTCTCTTCCCTGCAGCTACTATTAACTATATTTTATTTATTCATTTCAAAATTTCAAAAAGTTATGGCTGCCTTACATATCAGTACTTCATTAATTATATTGTTTTTCAGTTTTGCAGCACAAATATATATACAAGAAGAAGAGAGCATGGATTCCTTTGACAATATAACATTTTATTATGTAAATCCATATATAGGCCATATGATTATTTATTTTTGTAGTTCAAAACTCCTCTGAGAAAAGATAAGTATTCTGTAATATTTTTTAAAATGTTTCCATTTCCTATCTATTTTGTGTAGTTAATATTTCAAATCTAGTTATAAGTCTAAATATAGCTTTACTATATTTAAGTGGAAATGAAAAGGAAAAAGTTTATTTATTTATTTTTGGTATGTTGGTTTGTTTTAGTCTTTAAAAAGAATGTTTACAGAACTGTTGAAAGCATAAGCCCAGGATCAAAAGTTGAATTATATGCTCTTCAAAATGTATGTTACTACATTCTTAGTCTTACCATTCTCACAGGTAATACAGCTATTAAAATATGTTATTGAACAGGTAGAAAAAATATGAGACCGTTCCTCAAGTAGACATTATAAGCAGTTTCAAAGGAATTAGAGTCCATATTCAAGTTTATACCTAAGAGATGATGCAGAGCTAACACATAAGAATATCCAAAAATATGAAGCAGATCATCAGAAGGAGTGTATTAGTAAGCAAACTATGCATAAAATGTATATGCATAAAGTAGCAATCATCCATCATAGCTGCAAATGCTGAAGACACTTTTTTAATGTTTGAGATGAACAAATGGGCTTGATTTGTGATATTCAAAATTTTTGTAGTCCTACCCGAGTCCTAGTTTTTCAATCTTTCAACAAAACTTCTTCAGTGTCCTATGATGTGTTAGATACCCTTCCAGGCTCCTAAGTTTAAGAGATGAAAGAAAAAACAACAACAGTCATTGTCAGTAAGAGATCACAGTATAGTTGTAGATATGTGCAACTACATAATTAATGGTAATACAATGTGATAAGTTCTGCAACTGAAATAAACTCTAGGTTGATTTCTTATTTATATTCCTAGGTAATTCGTTCTTAAAAATAAACTGGGGATGTAACAGAGGGTTTTATAGCTGAGAAGACACTTGAACTGAAATGTGAAGGGTTAGTAAGAGCTAAACAGGCAGATGGAGGGGATGGAGAAGCGAGAAATGTTGTAATAGCATGAAGGTGAGAGAGTGTGTGGTATTCAGAATCATGCAAATGGTTTCGTATGACTGCAGTGTATAGGGTGGAGGATGATACTGAAAATGTTGATTAAAAAGGATGTCTTTGGTCCTTCACTTGAGACATCTGGATGAAAAGCAGCTAAAAGATTTAAGATGGGAAGTTGATATGACTGGAGGTCTGTGAAAAAAGCTGATAGATTTAGACCATTTAGCAGAGAAATAAGTAGAGCTTGATAGAGGTGAAAGAACACACGTGAGAGATATTTAGGAGATAAAATCACCGGCAATCTGAGACCAGTTGGATTTGTGAGTGAGAGAGAGGGGAATACACACGTGGGAGGATTCTTAGGTTCTGGCTTGAGGGAGAAGAATGATGCTGCTGATCAGATCCATGAGCAGAGAAGCACAAGAGAAGCATACTGTCCAAGAAAACCTGAGAGGGATCTGTACTTTTGGTGAAGATTGAGGGTTATGTACATGCAAGCACGTAATTGATGGCAGAGGGTATATCTGTGTGGTAAGAATGAAAAAAGGAGTAGATTCAGATTGGGATCTCTGGTGAATTCTGGTAATTTGGGGGTTGGTGAAGGAAGAAACAGGACCGCTAAAAGCACAAGTTTATTTGGGTGGCACTTGCAGCAGGTTGCATGACAGGAGTAGCCCCTCCTAGCAAGAGAACTTCTAGAGACAATGATGTGGGGCTACCACCTAGAAGGGGCAGAAGGGGAAAGTAGAGAGGAGACTTACATGTCTGGGTGATGTCACTCAGCCACAAGGTGGGGAGTCTCTGAGTCAGAGACCTCTGAAGGGAGCTGTGGTTTGGTGTCTTTCACAGCTACAAGATTTGTCTTATCTATCATTGGCAGATGTTGGGTGGAGTTTCATGGGGGCATTTAAGAAGGTAGGCTCTAAATGGGCTAAAATTAATTTATTTTTGACTATATTTAGAACCATTAGATGTGTGAGATTTTGAAGTGGTGCTGGCAGGCTTTGGACTAAGGGCCTTAGCCTGCTGTCAAGAATCAAACAGTATGCGGACTGTGTTAGGCTATCACCCACGGGTCATCTCTGGCCCATCTACGTAACAAGATCCTAGGGAGAAAAACGCCTAAGAAGTAGACAGAAATAGTAGATCTTGAGAGAGATGATTGAGCAACAGCCAATGAAGAAAAGCCTGAAGTGTGGAGTTGATAAAGTCAAAGGAAAAAAAGATTCCAGAAACAGTGGATGCTCAGTTGAGTCCGCTGCTACATAAAGAATAAATATAAGAAAGTCTGAATCGTGTTCACTGGCTTTGATTATTAGTGCCCTGGGCAGAAGCAATTTCAGGTGCGTCATATTTGAGGAAAAAATGAGGTGACAGTATATGTACCTTATCCTCAAAGAAGCTTGCCAGGAAAGAGAAGCAGCTAGGGAAGATGTGACTCCAGTGAGGGAGTTACTATGAGAAAGAGATGAGCGATTTTGTTTTGGTCTTTCTTTTAATCCTAAGCTAAGAAAAGTGAATTATTGACTAAACAGGTATTATAGTTATTTTATTGCTGTTTAACAAACCTTCCTCAAACTTAATGGAATACAACTCATGGATTTGATGCTCATGGACTGCGTGGTGGGAGAGCAGCTCAGAAGGGCACAGTGAGATAGCTTGTCTGTCACATGGTGCTTGGGGTCTCAACTGAGAAACCTCAGCGGGATAGGTTGACTCAAAGTCTGGGGTTGAAACAGCTGGGTTGGAGAATCTATTGCCAAATGGAAGAATTTGAAAGTTAGGGGGTAAATACCCTATGGCCTTTAAATTATCCCAAAAAGAAGGAATCCATTGAGACTGAAGGTATGAAGTAGGAGCCTGGGAGAGGGTTGGAATTTCAAAATAGCTTCTAAGAGGAGAGAGATTGGTAATCACCCAAGCCAACACATTTCTGGGTAGTATTTAAGGCTTAATGAGGGTTTTGAATTTGCAGTTGCAATAATCTGCACAGTTGAGTTTTAACCTACATGCTATGCTAGTAGGGAGTGGCAGCTAAACAATCTCATAAGATCAGATGGGTCATATTATACCACTGACCATCCTTAGATATGTGTACTCTTCCTAGATGTATTTGTATCTTGGCAAAGGACGCAATAGCTAGACCTTAAACAAAGGAATGAAAGCAGGATACTTACCTTAGCAAAATGATGCCTCAGAATATTTCATACCACTTTTGCATGCACCTGCTTGTGCTATTATGTAGGTGTACCAAAAAACAAACACTTTCCCTTATTTATTTATTTATTTAGAGATGGAGTATCACTCTGTCGCCCAAGCTGGAATGCAGTGGCACAATCTCAGCTCACTGCAGCCTTCCCCTCCCGGGTTCAAGTGATTCTCCTGCCTCAGCCTCCCAAGTAGCTGGAATTACAGGTGCCTGCCACCACGCCTGGCTAATTTCTATATTTTTAGTAGAGATGGGGTTTCACCATGTTGGCCAGGTTGGTCTCAAAATCCTGATCTCAGATGATCTGCCCGCCTTGGCCTCCCAAAGTGCTGGGATTACAGGCGTGAGCCACCGCACCCAGCCTAATTTTCTCCTTTCTTTAGAAAAAATTATACCTTCATAGCTTTTCTTCATAGGCCAAGTCTGATCTATTGATATTGGCCATCTGAAGTGTTGTGCTGTGAGAAAGCCTAATACCAAGCTTGAGATTTTGGGGAGTGGGAGTCAGGGGCAAGAGGAACAGTTAGAGATGTTCGTCACAGATGATGAGAGCTGTGGTGGTGGCATTCATACTTATGCTTTTTACCAGCTATTTTTATTTTGTCTCTTCAAAAGAAGATACGAAAAGAATAGTAATAATAATTATTAAAAACAATAATAGTAACTGTGGCAAAGCTCCTTTCATTACCTCATATAGTAAAAACATAATGTTATGGTTTTGTAATATAATGTTACACTTTTTTTTGAATGTCTAAAGGGTATCAGACCATATGAGGCATGCAGAAAAAGATTTGGCTATTTACTAAATGTTAAGATCCTACTTGTCTAGAGCCTCATTGTGACAGAGTTTTTAAAAATGCCCCGAAATATGCAGCCCAGGTAATGAAATGAGAACTTTTCTGAAAGGTATTTGCATTTCAAATCAAGATGAAGAGAAAATCCACAAAGAGTATTGCGTGTTTTCTGCACAAAGGAGATCATTGAACAGTCTGTGCACTTATATACTAACATTTTTAACTAAATTAATCGTCATTTTTTTTTCTGCTAGTTTATGCTCTCCAAAAGTCAGGTGAATAAAATGATTGTACTGACTATTTGATTGTGCTGATTAAGTCAAAACTCTTTACAACTGTATTTCATTGGCTTTAAGATGTGAGCTTTAAAAGTATTTTAATATTTTAATATTCATTTGCTATTGATAGTATGCCATTGCTTTACTTAAAACCTTTTTTTTTTTTTTTTTTTGGTGGTCCATACAATCAAATTGCTCCTTACATTCTTGGGCATCAAAGATCCAAAGAAATGCAGCAGGTAAGTCACAGAAGAAGGAAAATCCAGACATACAATCAATTCATAGAACATGAGCTGATTCACTGACAGGCTTCATCATAGTTCTACCCCCATGGAATTTCCCCCTTATCAATGTCATCTACATTTTAGTTTTCACGTGTAGTATTTATGCCTATTAAGCTTCTTCTGAGTGACAATTCATGATAATTTACCTGTATCAAGGCCTGATAGTATTTCAGAAACTTTAACCCTTGTAGCAGAAATTCCTCAGAAGACAAATAATTAGTGTGTTTCAATTCCAGTAGCAAGCATATTGTCACACTTTTATTTAAACAGTTACTGAATCATGGAATTTAAAGGCTGAGCCAGGCCATAATATTGTTCCACTGTTTCGAATATAAAACTCAGATTTACAGAAATTTAATGAGTAGATCCTATCCTTCAGTTTATATGACAGAGCCAGACTGTTGTCCAAAAGAACATGAGAATAGATCATTAATATCATTCCCCTTGGTTTATAGGTCAGGCTGTTATGAAACTACAGAAAGAAATATACAGGATTGAAGAAAAAATTCTCCCTAGCAAAGATTAAGTTTTATCTAATTTGAATCCCAGATAGGAAAGTATGCAGCTGGTTATTCACTTAAGAGTAGAAAAATAAATGATCTTAAAATTGGAATGAGGAAATTCTTTAAAAAATATTTTCTAAAAAATATTTTCTAAATAGTTTCTAAATTCAAACTACTTTGCATATTTTAAATCTTCTATAAGACCACATTATTGGAGAATTTTATCTTGCGTTTGGCCATTGGACTATGCCTAATTTCTCTATTTTTCACATTGGAAAGAATCCTAGTACATGATATCCCTAAAGAATTACATAATTTTGCCATTGAGCATTTCTTTTTTTTTTTTTTTTCCAAAACAGAGTCTTGCTCTGTTGCCTGGCTGGAGTGCAGTGGCACGATCTCGGCTCATTGCAACTTCTGCCTCTCGGGTTCAAGCAATTCTCCTGCCTCAGCCTCCTAAGTAGCTGGGATAACAGATGCGCACCACCACACCCAGCTAATTTTTGTATTTTTAATAGAGACGGGGTTTCACTTTGTTGGCCAGGCTGGTCTCGAACTCCTGACCTCATGATCTGCCTGCTTTGGCCTCCCAAAGTGCTGGGATTACAGGCATGAGCCACCACCCCCGGCTGCTGTTGAGCATTTCAGAACTTCTCTTTGTACCATAAAGTTGTCATAGAAAAGAATCTTTGAGATCAGTGATCTTTCAAAGATTGGTATTTGATATTAATAACTCAAGAATGCAGTTTCACAGATTTTCCTTAGGGAGAACACTTCATAAAAATTGAGTTAATAAAATGATAAAATACAATGGCCATAATAGTTTAGACCTCTTGCAGACATGCCTTCATTAGTATTCTTGGGAAATAGAGAAAGCATAGCACCTGAGTCCAAATTATATTCTCAAGTCCAAAATATTTGCTGACATAATAAAAGTTTCTACATAAAAATATATTCTTAGTAGAGAATTAAATTACGTCATTTGTAATTCTTACAGCAGGCTAAAGATAGCCGATTTGATGATCAAAACCATGGGGAAAACTTCCTTCTAAGAACAGAATGTGACTTCAGGCAATAGAGTAGACAGAGGATGCATAGAAACCTGAATGAATATTAGTTACTGTTCCCTGAAAGAGTTGAAATTCCTAAATTAGGCCTTATGTTTTCATCCTTGGTTAAAAAAAAAAAGTGTGTGTGTATGTATATATATATATATTTGTGTGTGTGTGTGTATAAATGAATCTGTTGTCATTTTGCTCTGCTTAACCATTAGAGATTTTTATATGTATGCTTCTATCTGTTGTTATACACTAATAGTACAGTCATTACATAATCATGATATTTTAATTCTTGATTACAATCCCTTTCCAACTATATAAAAATATGTCTAGTGACACATATTTTAGAAAGTTTTCTTGGAAAAACATCCAGAGATTGTGTTCATCACTATCTATATAAATGAGCTTATACTGAACCTTAAATATGTTTATTCAGCATAACAATCAGAAAAAGAAAATTTTTTTTAACAGTATAAAGTTCAGGTGAGTCCATTTGTCTTGGCATTTTATTTTGATTTTAATTAGAAGAAAGACTGCCATTAGAATTGTTTTGTAATGAAATCTTTATAAATTCTCTGGGCAGTGCCCTCTATTAGAAAGACTTCTTATTTTTAACACTTTTATTTGGAAGAAGTTCTACTCATTTGCATTAGTCCATCGTCTACATAATGTGTGTGTGTGTGTGTGTGTGTGTGTGTGTGTTTTACAACGTTGACTTTTGAAACTAGAATAGAATCAGGTAAAACATCTCAGATCAGTGTGTCAGTAACTGGCCTGAATCATCGGGCACCATGATGGGGTTGGCCGCCTTCAACGTACTCGGTGTACATTCTATTTTTTTTCTACATAATGTTCAGTACTGTAGTACTAATCACCGAGAAAAATTGCATTGACTCTTTTCGACCACCAGGGAAATATTCAGTTCATGGTTCTCCCCTAAAAAAACTAAAAAGCTACTAAGCGCTGGGAACAAATCTGACTTAATGCATTTTCTCAGTGGGCCAAAGAAAGGAGGGCCGATTGTCTGCCTTGACTTTTTAAAACTCTTCTCTTTATTCACGTATAAACTGAGGAAAACAAATTCTCGGCACTGGCGTGAGAGTTATTTGAGCGTCACAAAATAAAATATTAGTGCCATTATTGTGGCGAATTTCATGTTTCCCAGCGAGCCTTTTGATTCCCGGTTTGGGCTGGCGCTCGAGCTCTCCAACCGGGTACGACTTCGGCCACAAGATGGCACTGACCTGCAAACAAAGAAAACCACAGTGGCACCGACTTTTTCAAGCCTTGGGAAACTGCCCTGCCTTCCCCCTTCCCCGGAGTCAAGGACTGTGGGGATTAGGGCTTCCTTTCCCCTGCGCGGGGCGTCTGTGTCGAATAATGTGTGGCTTCTGTTGGATTGCTTTTCTTTCCAAAATTCCTAGGCAACGCTTCCCCGAGGTGTGCACCTTTGCGAGGTGTTTGTGGGGCGGGGGGAGCTTCAGGCGCTACTCGCGGGACGCCGTCACGTGATCCGGGATGAGGTGGAGTTCGGCTTTAAGGGGGCGTCTCTTCCTAGCTTCATCAATCTTTAGGATCTGAGCAGGAGAGATACCAGCGGATCTTCCCCACTCTGCTCCCTTCTATTCCCACCCTTCCTTCTTCAATAAGCAGGAGCGAACAAGACAAATTCCAAAGAGGGTAAGTTGCGAGTTTATGCCTTTCCAGAGACTTTTGCGAAATCTCTCATTGACAAGGTGAAGGATAAGCGGGGAAGAAAAACGACGCCAGTGTCCGAAACTGGCTCTGGGGGACCGAGGTGTGGTCTCCAGTGCAAGCAGGTCGCAGGTTGCTCCAAATCACCGGACCGTTCGCGGGCTCCTGCCGAAGGGTATGGGGTCGACGCGGGTGAAAGGAGAGGGTCGCCTACGCGGAGTTCGGGCTTTCCCACCACGTGCTCCCGGGGAATTTCTGGATGGGGATCCAAGTTTTCCTCTACCCAGGTTCTCTTTAAAAGGTCAAGGCACTGGGAAGGTGCCCGAGTTCGTCTATCCCGCACCCGCTCATCTTCCGTATGTGTCTTGGACTGACTGGAGGCGCTGGCTCTAGCCGCACCGGAGTTTTCGCGGAGTAACTGGCTGGGATGAGCCAGAGAAGGGTGGGCTTGGTGCGTCGCCCGCCGTCGCCCGGGTCCCGCGGCAGGCGTCGGGCTGGGAGCGGGCGGAGGTGGGAGTAGCCCTCGGCGCGGACCCCAGAGCGCAAGCCCACCCCCACTTGCGGATTCCGCGCGTCTGGGCTGCAGTGGAGCCGCGCTCCCCAATACTGAGCGCTTCGAGTGTGGAGCTGCACCCGGGTGGACACCCGAAGATTTTAATCATCGGAGTTCTAATCGGGGAACTCTTTAGCTCTTTCTTTTAGAAAAGTAATGATGGAACATGGCTGGGTTAGGAGATTGGGAATGCACAGGAGGTGGAGGTGACTTGCTAGGGTGTGCCGTTGGTTCCCAGGTAGACTGCAGAGATGCGAATGTTTTAAGGTCTGATACTGGGCCAAAGACAGAATTGAGTAGGGTTTGGGATCTGCTTGTTTTTGGTTGTTTGTATCTTTTCTCTTTTGCCAGTCTCTTATCACTAGTAGAAAGGTTTTCTGATGTGTGTGTGAGAGAGAGAGAGAGTGTAGTAGGGAGTCAGGAATGGAGTAAATTTCGGGCGATTTACCTAGTTACACAATATGAAAAAGGTGGGTGGGTAAGCGTGCCAACAGGAATTTTGACTGAACATGTCCCATTTCCCATTTCGTTGTTTGATAACTTCTGGAGCACAGGAAAAACCTAGAGGAGAGGAGCAGAAGAGAGTGTTTCCAAGTACACACACTAACACACACACACACACATTAGAGCACGCATTGCTTCCCACACTCCCCATCCTTTAAGAGGGCATGACTGGCGGGATGGCACACACAGGCAGGGGACATGTGGAGCTTGTCTGTCAGGTCTGCAACAGAAAAGCAGTAGCTGTTAGTCCTCGACCCTGGGCAGGCTCTCAGCGAAGCAAGCGAGGCAGCGGAAAGTTAACCCGACCCGCTTCCCCACCCAGGACTAAAAACTAAGTGCTTTATTAGTCTTTATTGTCTTCAGGCAGCAGTCTGTTGAACAAGCCCTCCCCAGCAAGGAAGGAGCAGAGAATTATGTAACTCATTTAGATAAGCTAGCAGTAACTTTGGGAGGCTGTATGTAACAAGGCTGACATTTCTTTTCCAACACAAGTGAGGTGAACAGCCAATCCTGAGTATTTGAAAAAATTTATCTGCAGCAGGTTATGATCAGGGAGCTGTATTTTCAAGTAGTAACAGCACTACGAAGAGCAAGCAAGGAAAGGCCAGCATTCTAATTGGAAAGAAAGAAGAGGAAATTTCCCTCTGCAGGGGGCTAATTTGCCAATTGGTGATGTATGTAATGTCTCTGTTTTGTCTCTATATGCACATGGTAGCTACACTGAGACTTAACAGTCTTTAATTTTTGCAGTTTCTGTAGCTGCCTAGCTTATTTTACAAATTATATTAGAATAGTAAATTTCAAATTATTTTCTTTTGCAAAGATAAGGTATGTAAATTCTCTCTTAGTATTGTTATTTTCTGACAGTTATTCTTTCTTGAGATTATACTAAGGTACACTGAAAATACACATTTTATCCAATGCAGAATTGGTTTACACAACTGGAATAACTACCAAATGTGCAATTAGTAAAACAGGCTTGAAAACACCTTAAAAAAAATAAAGTTTTCATTTTCTCTATAGCTAAATTAACTTCTACCTAGTAAGAAAAATGCTTCCTCATTGGGCATGCCTATTAAATACCGTTTCAAAGGTGTCAGACTAGAGCTTCAGTACATTCACCTGAACTCATCTGTAAGAAAGCCATGTTTGTAGCCTGTACTTTGCAATAATTTAATGTCTGTGTGAATTCTTATATGTATTCATTTTTGCCCAAATCAGTCAGTGGGTAGAATATTGCTGTTTCTTTCTCTCTATGGTATACATCTTGGTCTCTGCTTCTATTATTTCTTGCCAAATTATTGCACTAGCTGTCTAATGAATCTCTTCTCTTTTCTTAAATGTGTTGAAAACAGCAGCTAGAATAGTAATTTTAAATCCAAAGTCATATAACTTCACACCTTTGCCAAAGACTCGCCAGAGGCTCCCCAGCTCTCCCAGGATTATAGGCAAAGATCATTAAAAAAAAAAAAAAAAGGCCCTAAAGTCTGTACCTGCCTCTTTAGCCTTCCCAATTAATTTCCTAAGGGTCCCTCCCTTATTTATCCCACTTCTCATTGCTACTTAGCACACCAGTTACACACAGGCCTTAGGGATGTTTGTTCTTTCCATATGGGATGCAATCCCCGAGATACTTGTGTGGCTTCCCTACTCACGACTCCTCAGGTCTTAACTTACATGCCTTCTTCTCAGACAGTCAGAGGCCATCTTTTGCAGTCAAGTAATAAATTGCAGCTCCTCCAAATCCCAGTTTCTCTCTCTTTTTTTCTTTTTTTTTTTCTTTTTGAGATGGAGTCTTGCTCTGTCACCCAGGCTGGAGTGCGGTGGCCTGATCTTGGCTCAGTGCAACCTCTGCCTCCTAGGTTCAAGCAATTCTCCTGCCACAGCCTCCCGAGTAGCTGGGACTACAGCTGTGCTCCACCCCGCCTGGCTAATTTTTGTATTTTTAGTAGAGACGAGGTTTCACCATGTTGGCCAGGCTGATCCCAAACTCTTGACTTTAGGTGATCCGCCTCGGCCTCCTGAAATGCTGGGATTACAGGCGTGAGCCACCTCACCAGGCCCCAGTCCCTCTTTCTTGCTTTGTTTTACTTCATAATACTTATCATCATCTAGCATGCTATATTTCTTACTAATTTTCTTCTTGTCTTTCTCTGCCCATAAGATTAGAAACTCAGTGAAAAGGTCACATTCTCTCCAGTAAAACTATGCCTGACATGAAAACAAGTCTAATTAATATTTGTTGAATGAATAAATTTTCTTTCAGAAATAATTTTTTTACATAAAGGGTAATATTTTCCCCTATATACATGACCTAGGAGCATGGCTGTTGTGATTAGCATACATTTTGCATGTTCAAGGACTATGATGGAATTGAGCTATTGATGTTAGGATTAATTTACCCAAGAACCTACTATTCCAACCATGCATCAGTTATATCAGTCAACACAGTTTTATTTTAAATCTTATACTTGCAAGGTACTATGAAGTATGCACGATGCCTACATCAAAGATGTTATATTAAAAATGAGAGGAGCCAATTAAGGATTCTAGGAACTAAATGGTGCTTTGAAAGATGGGTAGAGTTTGTATTGATGGTGGGAGAGAGAGAACACCCAGCAATAAAAATGGCAGAGGTGGAGATGCAGAGCTATATTTGGTAGACTGTGAACAGACTCGCCTGCCTAGAACACTGTATTCACATTCACATTGGGATTATTAGAGTAAAGTGTGGAAAGAGGTATAATGCAGAGGTCTTAATGTGTCAGGCTGGGGAATGTACTTAGTATTCTCTCTCTCATGTGTCTCAAACCAGGGTCCTTATTCACCTGTTGGTACTTGGTGACAAGGATAAAAAGCTTTTCCCTGCTCTGCTAGTTTTACTTTAACTAATGAAGGGAAACTTATAATTAATTCATAAGTCATGTTTAATATCTCTTTAGTAACTTAAATAGGAAATATGATGCTAAATTTTCTTGAATTTTTAAAATAAGAGATTTCCAAATAATTTGAAGTTATTACTGCTCCTTTGAGATTGTTTTCAAACTCTAACAATCACTGATCATTCTCTCTGCCTTTGGAATTCTTGAGAGAAAAAGTGTGATTATCACATAAGTATTAGGGAGTCATTACAGGTTGATGCATAGGGGAAGAGAGAGCCACGTTTCTAATCACATTCATACCTGAAATCATTCCATTACCATTCTTTAATATTTTCATTCTGACTTCATTATAGCAACCTTTACTTTATTCTTCTTAAGTTTTATAAGGCCAAATCATGGTTTCATAATATTAAAAAAAAAAAAAAACCATGTTCTAGAAAGCAAAAAAATTAAAGGAAAGGTTCATTAGAGGCATTAAACAAAAGGCAAATGCATTTCTGGCTTATTAAGTTTATTATCTTTCTTTCAATGGAAGTAACTCCGCACAATTTTCTTTATTGGTCTTATTTGAGAAAGAAAAGAATGAAATTCAGTTTCTTAATACAAGCACGATGACCTGTTAATTAACATAAGAAACCCTGTCTCACATATTTACTTAGTAATCTAGGGAACATCAGACTTATTTTTGAAAGGAGTTTTTAAAATAATGTCAAACTTTTTAAAACTCTACAAGTCTGTGATTTGTGTTAATAAGAGAAAAATATATCACAAAATACTGTGAAAAATCAAAATTACAACTAAAACCTAGATCTTTGCACTGGACACACATATAGTCTGGTGGGTAGGAAAGATACATAAATAATACCTTAGAAATCCTTGAAAACTTCTAACGTATTAATAAAATAACAGACTCTTAAAGTTAGAATCTCCTACACAGTACAGGAACTGTCTGAAATGGTCTTTCATATGGTGGTTATAAACTTTTGTATATGGAACACTTGCTAGATTTCCAGGCATGTAATTCCATTTTATTAAACTTTTGTTCCTCATAATGATGTGATTTAAAAAAATAATGAACACCTCTTGGCCCTACTTTTAACTTGTACATATAATTAGATGTAACATTCTAAGCTCAACGCTGTGTTCTACATGGTACCCATTAAAATACGAGAAGACATCTATACCATTCCTACTAAGTATTTTCCAGATTAAACATTGTGTAGTCTCTCAATAGTCATTCATGGCAAAGTTTTTTGATGTTTCACTGTATTGATCATCTTTTGTTGAATATACTTGTGCTGAATAGCATCTGCCCTAAAAAGCAGTCCAGTGTATGTGTGGTGGAGCTATTGCTACAACTTGACCTTGACACTAATTCTTCCATTTCTATAGCATATGGAAGAATTAGGTAATTTATTTTGTTTTGCTTTGTTTATTTTTCTTATGTTTTAATCTGTGCATTAAGTGGTTTTTATACATTCATATTCTTACAATGTTTAGGAATGTGCTGTTGTTACTGTTTATGTAAGACTTGGGGCATAAGATTTATATATTCCTCACTGACTTATAGACCACTATGTTTTACTAAGACTTGTTCTGTAAGCAAGTCCAATTAAAAATTTTATTTTTTCTTTATTCAGTGTGTTTTCACTATTTCTGCTATTTTAGAAAGATGTTTACAAGGTTACATTTTGTTTATTTTAGTGTTTTCACTTTAAAGAATTTTGTGAGTCAGAATTCATTTTGACTGCCCTCAATAAAATTAGTAATGCAATTGGTCATTTTCTCTTTACAGATTGTTCAGTTCAAGGGAATGAAGAATTCAGAATAATTTTGGTAAATGGATTCCAATATGGGGAATAAGAATAAGCTGAACAGTTGACCTGCTTTGAAGAAACATACTGTCCATTTGTCTAAAATAATCCATAACAACCAAACCAATCAAAATGAATTCAACATTATTTTCCCAGGTTGAAAACCACTCAGTCCACTCTAATTTCTCAGAGAAGAATGCCCAGCTTTTGGCTTTTGAAAATGATGATTGTCATCTGCCCTTGGCCATGATATTTACCTTAGCTCTTGCTTATGGAGCTGTGATCATTCTTGGTGTCTCTGGAAACCTGGCCTTGATCATAATCATCCTGAAACAAAAGGAGATGAGAAATGTTACCAACATCCTGATTGTGAACCTTTCCTTCTCAGACTTGCTTGTCGCCATCATGTGTCTCCCCTTTACATTTGTCTACACATTAATGGACCACTGGGTCTTTGGTGAGGCCATGTGTAAGTTGAATCCTTTTGTGCAATGTGTTTCAATCACTGTGTCCATTTTCTCTCTGGTTCTCATTGCTGTGGAACGACATCAGCTGATAATCAACCCTCGAGGGTGGAGACCAAATAATAGACATGCTTATGTAGGTATTGCTGTGATTTGGGTCCTTGCTGTGGCTTCTTCTCTGCCTTTCCTGATCTACCAAGTAATGACTGATGAGCCGTTCCAAAATGTAACACTTGATGCGTACAAAGACAAATACGTGTGCTTTGATCAATTTCCATCGGACTCTCATAGGTTGTCTTATACCACTCTCCTCTTGGTGCTGCAGTATTTTGGTCCACTTTGTTTTATATTTATTTGCTACTTCAAGGTAAGAAAACTTTTTTTCTATCATTTTCATTTTTTACCTTCTTTACACAGAATTCCTCATCAAATGAGTGTTTCTATTTAAATTTGTTTTTCTTCTGTAGATATATATACGCTTAAAAAGGAGAAACAACATGATGGACAAGATGAGAGACAATAAGTACAGGTCCAGTGAAACCAAAAGAATCAATATCATGCTGCTCTCCATTGTGGTAGCATTTGCAGTCTGCTGGCTACCTCTTACCATCTTTAACACTGTGTTTGATTGGAATCATCAGATCATTGCTACCTGCAACCACAATCTGTTATTCCTGCTCTGCCACCTCACAGCAATGATATCCACCTGTGTCAACCCCATATTTTATGGATTCCTGAACAAAAACTTCCAGAGAGACTTGCAGTTCTTCTTTAACTTTTGTGATTTCCGGTCTCGGGATGATGATTATGAAACAATAGCCATGTCCACCATGCACACGGATGTTTCCAAGACTTCTTTGAAGCAAGCAAGCCCAGTCGCATTTAAAAAAATCAACAATGATGATAATGAAAGAATCTGAAACTACGTATAGCCTATGGTCCCGGATGACGTCTGTTTAAAAACAAGCACAACCTGCAACATACTTTGACTACCTGTTCTCCCAAGGAATGGGGTTGAAATCATTTGAAAATGACTAAGATTTTCTTGTCTTGCTTTTTACTGCTTTTGTTGTAGTTGTCATAATTCCATTTGGAACAAAAGGTGTGGGCTTTGGGGTCTTCTGGAAATAGTTTCGACTAGACATCTTTGAAGTGCTTTTTGTGAATTTATGCATATATTATAAAGACTTTTATATTGTACTTATTGGAATGAAATTTCTTTAAAGTATTACTATTAACCGACTTCAGAAGTACTTGCCATCCAATACTGTCATTAGATTGGGTCATCTTGATTAGATTAGATTAGACTGTCAATAGATTGGGCCGTCCTTATTTTAAGATAGGCATCATTTTATTGTGTTACAGTAGTAACAGTATGCAAAAGCAGCATTCAGGAGCCAAAGGAGGGTATGAAGTCAGTCAGAAGTGGTTTGAGGTTTCTGGTTTTTGGTGTTTTTTTGTTTTTTTTTTTTTTTTTTCCACCTTAAGGGAGGATTTAATTTGCTCCCAATTGATTGTCACTTAAATGAAAATTTAAAATTGAATAAAAATACATACTTCTCGGCTGCAAATATTACAGGGAATTGGGGTACCCACAAGAATGAAGAGAGAAAGCAGCTCCCTAACTTCAAAACTATTTTGGTACCTGACAACAAGAGCATTTCAGAGTAATTAATAAAGTAAATTCATATTGCTGCAAATAGTTAAATTATATTCATTTGAATTGATGGTCAAGAGATTTTCCTTTTTTTTTTTAACAGACTGTTCAGTGTTTGTCAAGCTTTCTGGCATAAATATGTACTCAAAAGGCATTTCCACTTACAATATATAGAAACACAAAAGGTGTTTTCCTTACAGCAGTGCCTATATAGTGACTGATTTTTAACTTTGAATATCCATCTTTCAAAGGAGATAACACCAAGTACAATGTTAAAAGAATATTCACTTCACCTTGCAGGGCAAAAATACACAAAAACTGAGAATACTTCATATAGCCCATTTTAACATGTATAAACTGTGTGACTTGTGGCGTCTTATAAATAATGCACTGTAAAGATTACTGAATAGTTGTGTTATATTAATGTGCCTAATTTCATGTATCTTGTAATCATGATTGAGCCTCAGAATCATTTGGAGAAACTATATTTTAAAGAACAAGACATACTTCAATGTATTATACAGATAAAGTATTAAATGTGTTTGATTTTAAAAGGGCGGACATTTTATTAAAATCAATATTGTTTTTGCTTTTTCTGAGGAGTCTCTTTCCGTTTCATTTTTTCTCATCCCATAACTTCCCTCCCATGATGTTCCCAAAGCATCCTGTATCTGCTTGCTAATGAAACGTAACCACTGATGTGATATAACCATCAATGGCTGTGGTATAGCCATCGATGGTTATAACCATTGATGTAGTATAGCCATTAATGGCTTAGTCTCCCTCTCTTGCTAGATCGTAAGCTTCTTTAAGGCAAGAATTGTTTAACATGACTGTCCCCAGTGCATGTAGCACAGTGCAAAGACTTAGAAGCATTTTCAAAACATATTTCCAAAACAAATGATTAATGACCAAATTTCCTTCCTTTCCTTCCTTCTTGTTGATAATCATATTGAACTCACGTCCTGCAGTGTTCTTGGATCCTTCCTCCTAAGTTAATCTTTACCAAGAAGATGTTTTCTCTTTTATCGTATTATTTTCATTTCTAAACTGAGCAAAAGGGCATTTTAGATTTTAGAAATTTGCATTATCAGTCCTGTAACTCAAACAAATATCACACTTTTTGCATTGAATAGTAATATGAAATCAAATTATAGCCTAAGAATGTCCTTTAGTTAACCAAATTAAAAAAAAAAAATTCGGCTGGGCACAGTGGCTCACACCTGTAATCCCAGTACTTTGGGAGGCTGAGACGGGTGGATCAAGAAGTCAGGAGTTCAAGACCACCCTGTCCAATAAAGTGAAAACATGTCTCTACTAAAAATATAAAATTTGGCCGGGTGTAGTGGCGTATGCCTGTAGTCCCAGCTACTAGGGAGGCTGAGGCAGGAGAATCGCTTGAATCCAGGAGGCAGAGGTTGCAGTGAGCTGAGATCATGCCACTACACTCCAGCTTGGGCAACAGAGTGAGACTCCATCTCAAAAAAATAAAATTATAAAATTACCTTTTAATACTTATTAGAAAATATAATTTTTCCTTACCCAAGCCTGAATTTTTGAACAACTTGATGATTTTTCTGCTTTTGGGGACAAATGGGAATTTATTTCTTTCTCTGTCTAGGTAATATGGAAACAAGTTGTTACTTGGGAAAAATCTTAATAAGTAAGTGCTTCTTTGTCATACATTTGCTGAAAAGGCCATTTCTAGAATTCTCAGTCAGCTGTGTATGCTGCTGACTCCTTGAGTTCACATAAATAATGAACCAAACATCAAATTCTTCTTTTATCCAAATATATTGATGAGCTACTAGTAAAGTCAAGGGTCAGCAACAGATGCATTGCAGTTCAAGAAGAAAAAAAAGGCCATATTAAACATGAACTATGGAACGAACCACTAGGTTTTCTTAAACCCAAGAACAAAAAAAAATTGTTAGTAGAAGAGTATAATTATAATATGGCTTATATAAATTTTAAGTAAACTGATAATAGCTAGAATATTTAAACTAGTATGTGCCAAGTACTGTGTCAGGTACTTAAGTACCTGTGAGGACTAATGTTATTGCCACTTCACATAAGAAGAGACTGAAGCTCCAGTTGAAATATCTGTATGAGACACACATTGAATAATAGGTAGAGCAAGAATCAAACCCAGGTCTGTCCAGTGCTACTAAACTAATGACTGAACTATACCTGCAACAGTTTAGAAAATAATTTTCTTCTCTCTTTACAAGTTACAATCTTGGGCGTAACACTGCCATCTACCTTCTTTCTGATTTTAGCTGCAGAAGGAATGGAGTGAAGTAGAAGAGTTGAGAGAAAATGGTCATTTTGATTATATGTACCCATTATCTCCCTTTCTGAATTAAACAATTCTGCTTAAAAATAGAATTTCGTTATTCACATTAATTTTATTTCTGTACTGTTAACTTTATTCTCTTATTTCATTTTACATATTCCAAGAAAATGTAAGTACATATTATACTGAAATTTATCCCACAAATTCTCAAGGAAATATAAATACATACTGTAATTTCAAATGTTGACAGTCAAATAGAGACTTTGACGATTTAAATATCTACACAATAAGAGTGGTGGAAAGAGGCAGTTTAAGCTGGGGCTTCAGGAATGTCTGGCCTTGTGTTGTTACTGCAATTCAGAGTTTATGGGCACTGCTAAGTGTTTGATCACACCAGGGTTGCTTTCCTCAGCAATCAAGGATTGTGCTGGAATTAAGGTAGTTTCTCAATGAGTCTTGAATTCTTTGATAGTCTCCATATTTTCTTTGTCTACTTATTGCCATGGTCCATCCAACAACATGTTGGACTTAAATGTCTGAGCAGGTGAGAGCAGCTGGTGAGAATGAGAACATGACTTACCAGGGCAAATTAGTAAGATTTCTCAAATTGTGTTTATTCCATGATTCGTTTATTAATATATTTTTGTGTACATGTGTGTGCACAGGCCGTACATTATGTGGCTAAGAATATATATATTTGTATATATAGATATATGGCCTATATAATTCTACAGTGAGTTTGTTTTCATTGCTCTTCATTTCTTGATCTCTTATCAAAGCTATTACATCTGTAGTGCTTATCACAAACTACCCTACGAAGTAGTACTTTTGTTTTTCTCATTTCACAGATAAGGAAATTCAGGCATGAGAGATTATATAACTTGCCCAGTGTCACTCAGCTAGTAAATGATAGGACTAGGATTCAAATCCAGGCAGTTTGGTTCCTGAGTCTTAATATAACAATAAGTTTTTAACCAGCACACACTAAAACTCTTCCCCACAGGCCAGCCTCTGCCTGAATTCCTCAGCCTCTGCGTCTCGTGTCTTTCCATTACTGGATCCACATATGACCCCATCTGCAGGCCAGGTCTGTTCTGAGCCGATCTAAGACAAACTTCTAATCATGGTTGTTTAGACATAGTTGCAGAATTGAGACACAAATCTGTTCCATCCAAAAGTTATCACTGCAAAGCTGCAGGTCTTTATTTTCTCTGTCATTTTGGTTTACACATCCTTATTCTTCTAGTTTCCAAGTCAATGCCAGAGTCATCTTCTGGGAGCATTTTCCCAGTAAATGGCTGGGGCTTTGAAACCTGACTAGTTTTGATCAACTTTCTCTCCTTTGGAGTCTAGAGTATTACTTTACATGGGCCCATATTCTAGCCCACAGACTAGAAAAACATCTATGAATTCAGTTTCAGAATAAACATTGCTGCCTATCTGACTTCTAAATATTGAATATTATCTGGGAGATAACATAAAGGGCTGTCAGTTGAAATTGTTGACTAATGGTGAACACTATTTTATTCAAGTCAAAAAACATACTGAAGCAAAGTAATTGATGAAATGACACTACGGCCCTGTCACCTAACAGCATTATATTGTGGTCTGTGCTTTTTGACATAGCATTTCAATACATTTTATTATAGGACTACTTTTGTCCTAAATAGCATTTCTCAAGCATCTTTTTATTTTGTCATCGGGAGAGAAAATTGTGAATGTTATTTGTATGTCTGGCTAATCTGTTCTATGATTTTATTATTGAGATTCAATTGGCATACTAAAAAGTGACATACATTCACTTTTTAAAAGTTTATAATTCAGTAGTTTTTAGAATATTAACAGAGTTGTTAAATCATCATCCCTATCTAGCTCCAGAGAATTTTCACTACTCCCAAAAAAAAAATTCCAAGTTTTGGTTTCTGGTCTCATATGTAAGGGGCTTGGAAGTTGTCACTTTATCCTAACAAGCAAAAACTTGAACAAACTGAAAAATCAACAACTCTTCTTAGATCTTTCAGAAAAGTGAGGTCAGAAGGAAAATCTGCTGCCCCCAAAATTAGAGAGACAGACCAATATAAAAAAAAAAACAAAAAATCACAATTCACTGTAGCAGAAATCTCTAAGAAGAAACCTCCATTGGAACCAATCAGTGCCTGAGTAGGAGACCTGAGTGGTTCCTACAGTAGGATAAGTGTGAGCATTAAAAACTCCCAGGGAAACCAGTCATAGGGAGATCCCCCCACTTTTGTGAGTTTTACCCCTAGGAGTTCAACTACATTATCACAATGGATATTGGAGAAAAATTCCATGTGCTTCTGGCAGGGAGAGGAGAAAAGAAACCAATTCTCTGAAATAGACCAAAGTATTCTGCTCTTCCTAACAGGTCTGCCCTCTAGAGACACTATTTTACTATAGTGTAAGCTGTTACAGTTTTATTAGCACTTAAGTGACCTGGCAGAAGAGAAATATCCAATTCCTGTCTCCTGTAGTCATCCTGTTTCACTTTGTGAGAGAGAAAACTGAGAAGCGCTTCTGAAATTCTCAGTTCAAAGGCTTACTAAAAGACTGAGGACAAATCTTAGTTCTATAGAATGCTTTCCCATCCTCAATACCTTCCCATTACATTACTAAAAGCCTTTCTGTAGCAAGTCTATTCCCCAGCACCTCATATCCAGCCATCAAGGAAAAATTACAAGGCATACTAAAAGACAGAAAAGCACAGTTTGAGGAGACAGCAAGCATCAGAACCAGACTAAGATATGGTAGGGATATTGGAACTATCAGACCAATACTTTGAAACAACTGTAATTCACATGCTAAGGGCTCAGATGGATAAAGTGGATAGCATGCAAGAACAGATGGACAATGCAAGCAGACAGATGAAAATTCTAAGAATAAAAAATACTAGAGAGCAAAAACACAAACAGATATGAAGAATGCTTTTCATGCTCATTGGTGGAATGGACATGGCTGAGAAAGAGTATCTGAGCTTGGACATATGGCATGGAAATACCTAACAGGAAAGCAAAGAGAAAGAAAATTGTGAAAAGAACAAATCTAAGAACTGCAGTTCACCTATAAAAAGTTTAACATAAGCAAAATGGGAATATGAGAAGGAAAAGAGAGTAAAGAACAGAAGAAATATTTGAAGCAATAACAATAAGGAATTTCTCAAATTAATAACAGATACCAAACCATAGACCCAGGAACTCAGAGAACACAAGATAAATATTTAAAAAGCTATATATAGACATATCATTTCACATTTTAGAAAATCAAAGATAAACAAAACATTCTG